TCCGCCCTTTGCAGCTATAACAGCTTCAACTCTTCTGGGAAGGCCATCCACAAGGTTTAGGAGGGTGTCTATGGGAAGGTTGGACCATTCTTCCAGAAGCACATTTGTCAGGTCAGGCACTGATGTCGGGGGAGGAGGCCTGGCTCGCAGTCTCCGCTCTAATTCATCCCAAAGGTGTTCTATGGGGTTGAGGTCAGGACTCTGTGCAGGACAGTCAAGTTCCTCCACCCCAAACTGGCTCCTCCATGTCTTTATGGACCTTGCTTTGTGCACTGGGGGGCAGTCATGTTGGAACAGGAAGGGGCCATCCCCAAACTCCTCCCACAAAGTTGGGAGCATGAAATTGTCCCAAATGTCGCCTTAAGAGTTCCCTTCACTGGAACTAGGGGGCCAAGCCCACCCCTGAAAAACAGCCCCACACCATAATCCCCCCTCCACCAAACTTTACACTTTGCACAATGCAGTCAGGCAAGTACTGTTCTCCTGGCCACCGCCAAACCCAGACACGTCCATCGGATTGCCAGACAGAGAAGCGTGATTGGTCACTCCAGAGAACACGCCTCCATTGCTCTAGAGTCCAGTGATGGTGTGCTTTACACCACGGCATCCGACGCTTAGCATTGCACTTGGTGATGGAAGGCTTGGATGGATACATTCCATTATACATTGTATCGTTATATACATTCCATTATACATTGTATCATTATATACATCCTATTATACATTGTATCATTATATACATCCTATTATACATTGTATCATTATATACATTCCATTATACATTGTATCATTATATACATCTTATTATACATTGTATCATTTTATACATCTTATTATACATTGTATCATTTTATACATTCCATTATACATTGTATCATTATATACATTCCATTATACATTGTATCATTATATACATTCCATTATACATTGTATCATTATATACATTCCATTATACATTGTATCATTATATACATCCCATTATACATTGTATCATTATATACATTCCATTATACATTGTATCATTATATACATTCCATTATACATTGTATCATTATATACATTCTATTATACATTGTATCATTATATACATCCCATTATACATTGTATCATTATATACATCCTATTATACATTGTATCATTATATACATCCCATTATACATTGTATCATTATATACATCCCATTATACATTGTATCATTATATACATCCCATTATACATTGTATCATTATATACATCCTATTATACATTGTATCATTATATACATTCCATTATACATTGTATCATTATATACATCCCATTATACATTGTATTGTTATATACATCCTATTATACATTGTATTGTTATATATACATCCTATTATACATTGTATCTCTCCAACTCCTGGTATAGAGAGGGAAAAAAATGTTTGTTAAAAAAATAAATCAATAAATAAATATTAACAAATTAAAGAAAAAATACCCAGATGAAGGTTTGATCTAGTTCAGTGCTGGGGTAATTGCTTGGGTCAAGGTCAAAGGTCAAGGTCAAATGTTTTTGAAAAAAAAAATTTGGTGTCTGTGTGTTTTAGGTTAAAAAAACCCAAAAACCAAACTTCGCACTCTTGTTTCTGGGCCGCACTCCGGGTACAAACAACAAATAACACACATATAGGGTATCGCTGCCATCGTCAGGAGCTGGAGAATGTATTTTGTGTTCTGTGGGGGTCGGTTATGGTAGTAACAAGAAACACTCAGTTAAATAAAAAAAATATTTTTTTTCCCCTATTTTGGGTTTTCCTTTTGATAATAAAAAAAAAAATCAGGAGAAATCCATTCCCATTTACCGCCAAATGAAAACAAAGTATAATCCACCCGGATGTACGAAGTCGCTGGGGTGATACGGACGGTTTTACTAACACGGGTCAAAGTTGTAAAATTGTGCTTAGGCGTTAGGATTTGTGTTACACTCAGGCTGGAAGGGGTTAAAAAAAAAACAGAAAGTGCGGCAAAAACGCGGTAAAAACTCCTATGTGTTTTTGCGGTGGATCGGTGTGAAAGTCGCCTAATTACCTTCATTTTGTACAGCGCCAGGGGTGGACTGACCACTCGGGCACAGCACGAGGGCCCGGGGTCAGTAGGGGGCCCCATGAGATGCCCCTAGTACCCTTCATAGACTTTTTTTGGGTGTGGTTTGAGTGTGGGTGAGGACACAGGGGCCCCATGATCCCCTATTGCCCGGGGGCCCCATGAGTTGTCAGTCCCCCCTGTACTGCGCTCTGCAAACTGTTGGCGCCATATAAATCCTGTATTATAATAATGCCTAAATGTCCCCGTTTCTGCCGGGGGGATGCAAACTACGGCGCACCGCTCGTGTACATTCCCGTAAATACTCGGATTCTCTGGTTGATTCGAAGCGTTGGACGTCTTTCACTAAAAGGCCGGGATCAGCCTCTGTAATGTGATGGCGGTGATATGCAGGAAGCCGACAGCGAGACCCCGAATCCCCCCTAATGGGATGACGCTCTCCCTGCGACCTCTCGCTGTATTCACAGAGACGACATTAAATAGATTTCTGCCTATTACTGGCTGGGATGGCAGATGGAGAGTCGGCTCCGGATCCAGGAATGTATATGGAAGGGGGGAGGGCGCTCGGCTCGGCATTCATTCCATTACAGATCATCCAATATGAGCCACAACTCCGACCGAAACATCACAAACAACAAATATCACTCCGAAAGATGAAAGAACACAAACCAGATTTGCAGAAGGAAACGCCCCCTCCTCCTTCTACAAAGTTACAATGTACAGTCTGATCACTGGGGGAGGGGAGACCGAGGAAACGCCCCCTCCTCCTTCTACAAAGTTACAATGTACAGTCTGATCACTGGGGGAGGGGAGACCGAGGAAATGCCCCTCCTCCTTCTACAAAGTTACAATGTACAGTCTGATCACTGGGGGAGGGGAGACCGAGGAAATGCCCCTCCTCCTTCTACAAAGTTACAATGTACAGTCTGATCACTGGGGGAGGGGAGACCGAGGAAATGCCCCTCCTCCTTCTACAAGGTTGCAATGTACAGTCTGATCACTGGGGGAGGGGAGACCGAGGAAATGCCCCTCCTCCTTCTACAAAGTTACAATGTACAGTCTGATCACTGGGGGAGGGGAGACTGAGGAAACGCCTCCTCCTCCTTCTACAAAGTTACAATGTACAGTCTGATCACTGGGGGAGGGGAGACCGAGGAAATGCCCCTCCTCCTTCTACAAAGTTACAATGTACAGTCTGATCACTGGGGGAGGAGAGACTGAGGAAATGCCCCTCCTCCTTCTACAAAGTTACAATGTACAGTCTGATCACTGGGGGAGGAGAGACCGAGGAAATGCCCCTCCTCCTTCTACAAAGTTACAATGTACAGTCTGATCACTGGGGGACGGGAGACCGAGGAAATGCCCCTCCTCCTTCTACAAGGTTACAATGTACAGTCTGATCACTGGGGGAGGGGAGACTGAGGAAATGCCTCCTCCTTCTACAAAGTTACAATGTACAGTCTGATCACTGGGGGAGGGGAGACTGAGGAAATGCTTCCTCCTCCTTCTACAAAGTTACAATGTACAGTCTGATCGCTGGGGGAGGGGAGACTGAGGAAATAACTCCTCCTCCTTCTACAAAGTTACAATGTACACCGTGATCCAGGGGCGGACTGACAACTCATGGGGCCCCCGGGGCAATAGGGGATCACGGGGCCCCTGTGTCCTCACCCACACTCAAACCACACCCAAAAAAGCCTATGAAAGGTACTAGGGGCATCTCATGGGGCCCCCTACTGACCCTGGGCCCTCGGGCACTGCCCAAGAGCTCAAATGGTCAGTCCGCCCCTGGTCTGATCACTGGGGGAGGGGAGACTGATAAAATGCCTCCTCCTCCTTCTACAAAGTTACAATGTACAGTCTGATCACTGGGGGAGGAGACTGAGGAAATACCTCCTCCTCCTTCTACAAAGTTACAATCTACAGTCTGATCATTGGGGGAGGGGAGACAGAGGAAATGCTTGGAGCCTGTAACCCCGATATATTGGATTTGGGTCGGGCCCCGGGCCCCCTCCACACTCTCACATGGACTATGCAGAGCAATAAATGAGGATTAGGGCAGGGAGGGGCCCGATCCAGGAGGAGAAATAATCGTTCTCTCTGATGTTGGCGGATTCTGGATGATTAAACCCGAATGTATGAAATGGACGGCGAGAGGTGGAAGTGGAAGGAGAGGTCGCGCCATGAGCTGCGGGACGGCGTCTGAGGTTGTAGGACGCGGCTTGTAGATACAAAAGCATTGAATGTCTCACTAACAACGTTCGATGGGCAGATCTGACCGACACCTCGCACCTCATCTCCTCAAATCACTCATAGAGGATGATGGAGACAGGAGGGGGGATGGGCCGAGGTTGGAGCCATTTATGGGATGGCTAGAAATCGCCTCGTTAACCTTTCATCCCGAAACATCTCTCATCACAGCACATTGTTTGATAGGTAGTTGACCCGTTCTTCCGTCTGTACTGGCGGGTCGGTTTTCTTTAAATCTTCTATGAAATTGGCAGCTTGTTAGGAATATTGGAATTCCTCCCACTGACACCAACGATGGGGCACTATTCCTCCCACTGACACCAATGATGGGGCACTATTCCTCCCACTGACACCAATGATGGGGCACTATTCCTCCCACTGACACCAATGATGGGGCACTATTCCTCCCACTGACACCAATGATGGGGCACTATTCCTCCCACTGACACCAATGATGGGGCACTATTCCTCCCACTGACACCAATGATGAGGCACTATTCCTCCCACTGACACCAATGATGGGGCACTATTCCTCCCACTGACACCAATGATGGGACACTATTCCTCCCACTGACACCACTGATGGGGCACTATTCCTCCCACTGACACCAATGATGGGGCACTATTCCTCCCACTGACACCACTGATGGGGCACTATTCCTCCCACTGACACCAATGATGGGACACTATTCCTCCCACTGACACCAATGATGGGACACTATTCCTCCCACTGACACCAATGATGGGGCACTATTCCTCCCACTGACACCAATGATGGGGCGCTATTCCTCCCACTGACACTAATGATGGGGCACTATTCCTCCCACTGACACCAATGATGGGGCGCTATTCCTCCCACTGATACCAATGATGGGGCACTATTCCTCCCACTGATACCAATGATGGGGCGCTATTCCTCCCACTGACACCAATGATGGGGCACTATTCCTCCCACTGACACTAATGATGGGGCACTATTCCTCCCACTGACACCAATGATGGGGCACTATTCCTCCCACTGACACCAATGATGGGGCACTATTTCCTCCCACTGATACCAATGATGGGGCACTATTCCTCCCACTGACACCAATGATGGGGCACTATTCCTCCCACTGACACCAATGATGGGACACTATTCCTCCCACTGAAGGGGAAGAGCCAGTACACTTGTGCAGGACTGGAGGGGAGGAGCTAATACACCTGTGCAAGATTGAAGGGGAGGAGCTGGTACACCCATACAAGACTGGAGGGGAGGAGCCTGTACACCTGTGCACGTCTGGAGGGGAGGAGTCAGTACACCTGTACAAGTCTGGAGGGGAGGAGCCTGTACACCTGTGCACGTCTGGAGGGGAGGAGTCAGTACACCTGTACAAGACTGGAGGGGAGGAGCCTGTACACCTGTGCAAGTCTGGAGGGGAGGAGCCGGTACACCTGTGCACGTCTGGAGGGGAGGAGTCAGTACACCTGTACAAGTCTGGAGGGGAGGAGCTGGTACACCTGTACAAGACTGGAGGGGAGGAGCCTGTACACCTGTTCAAGACTGGAGGGCAGGCTCCTGTACACCTGTGCAAGACTGGAGGGGAGGAGCCGGTACACCTGTGCAAGTCTGGAGGGGAGGAGCCGGTACACCTGTGCAAGTCTGGAGGGGAGGAGCCGGTACACCTGTTCAAGTCTGAAGGTGAGGAGCCGGTACACCTGTGCAAGTCTGAAGGTGAGGAGCCGGTACACCTGTGCAAGTCTGGAGGGGAGGAGCCGGTACACCTGTGCAAGTCTGGAGGGGAGGAGCCGGTACACCTGTGCAAGTCTGGAGGGGAGGAGCCGGTACACCTGTTCAAGTCTGAAGGGGAGGAGCCGGTACACCTGTGCAAGTCTGGAGGGGAGGAGCCGGTACACCTGTTCAAGTCTGAAGGGGAGGCTGGAGGGGGGATTTAATTAGGAAACACTTTAGATCAGGAAAAAAATAATTTTGAGTGACTGTAAGTAAAGCAATGAAATCGCAATGTATTTGGGGCCCCTTGAGCCTGACATCTCGTCCTCCTAAGGGCCACTGCTTCAGAAGCTCCACCACAGGTAGGTATATTGTGCAACATAAAACGCATTACGTGCAAACCAAAATTCAGCTCCCCTGACGCCTTTGTCCCGCCCGCCGCCATATCCCGCCTTTCCTCTGCGATTTTTCCACCCTCCTCCTAAAACCAATTAAGCTCACTCCTAACGAAACTGTTATTCTGACCTAACTAGATAGCGGCGCCTATTCACTCGCTGCGAAATAAAACCGCAGTTAATCAAAAACAATTCGGGCCTCCATTACAGCCGGCCGCGCGAAAAAAAGGCTGGGGTAGCAATTGTCAGGTAATTGCGGGAGAGATCGCCGAGAGAAAATTGGAATATAGTCGAGGGCGGGAAGGATATTTAGAGAAGCTATCGCTCTGGGGAGGGGGGGGGGGGGCGGCCGACGCATCTGTCTGGGGCTGAGTACAAAACAAACAATTCACATCTACCGCAGGAAGGTGGCGGCGCCATTGCGACTTGGAAGCTGCAACCTGTGCAATTTTCGCAGGTAAAATTAGGGGAGGGTTCGCGTCTTTCTCCTTTTGAGATAATAGGAAAATCATTGATACATTTTATTTAAATTGTACTTTACGATGACCGCGGACCTCCATCATTCCCAATACTCGACTCTGCGGGCGCAATCTTCTCCGGCGCGGAGTTATAGTTATCTCGGGGTGGTTCCGCCTACCAACACACATCCTTTGCCAAAATGGAAATATTATGCCGATTATATTCAGGGCTTCACTGGATCAATTCCAACAGTTTCTTTTTTTTTTTTCTTGTAGTTTTAAAGATAGCCGGTCGGGGACATGTGGACAGGAAGGGACAGCAGAGTGTGTAAGGGGGTGACCTCACCCCTCTGCTGCTGCTACTTCATTGTCCAATCAGAAAGCTGGGGAAAGGTTCGCGGACCTGGCATGTTTTTTCATTCCCATATACTTATATTTGCTGGTATTTACAGGGTCAGCCCAGAAAAGGATGAGCCAGACTTTTTTTGCACCCCCCCCCCTCCATTATAGGTTTCTAGGACACTGTGTGGCATTGGTTGCTAGGACACAGGTAGCTGGGCTGCACAGCATCATTCATTGTTAATTATACCATAATATCCAGTGAGGCTGTGCTGCCCAGAGGCTGAACATCCACGAGAGTGGATGTCATTTGAGTCACCTATTTTTTCCTGCTTCCCTCCCCTCCAACTATAGGTTGCTAGGATGCTGTGAGTCATTGGTTGCTATGATGCAGGCAGCTGGGCTGCAAAGCATCATTAGTCATTACTTTTACCACAATAACCAGTGAGACTGTGCTGCCCAGAGGCTGAACATCCACAGGAGTGGATGTCATTTGAGTCACCTATTTTTTCCTGCTTCCCTCCCCTCCAACTATAGGTTGCTAGGATGCTGTGAGTCATTGGTTGCTAAGATGCAGGCAGCTGGGCTGCAAAGCATCATTAGTCATTACTTTTACCACAATAACCAGTGAGACTGTGCTGCCCAGAGGCTGAACATCCACAGGAGTGGATGTCATTTAAGTCAGCTATTTTTTTCTGCTTCTCTCCCCTCCAACTATAGGTTGCTAGGACGCTGTGAGTCATTGGTTGCTAAGATGCAGGCAGCTGGGCTGCACAGCATCATTAGTTGTTACTTTTACCATAATATCCAGTGATGCTGTGCTGCCTAGAGGCTGAACATCCACGGGAGTGGATACCATTTGAGTCAGCTGTTTTTTTCTGCTTCCCTCCCCTCCAACTATAGGTTGCTAGGATGCTGTGAGTCATTGGTTGCTAAGATGCAGGCAGCTGGGCTGAATAGCGCCATTAGTTGTTACTTTTACCATAATTACCATTGACACTGAGGTGCCCAGAGGCTGAACATCCACAGAAGTTGATGCCATTTGAGCCAGCTATTTTTTTCTGCTTCTCCCCCCCCCCCCCTCCCCAATTATAGGTTGCTAGGATGCTGTGAATCATTGGTCGCTAGGCCACTGATAGCTAAGCCACATAGTGCCATTCATTGTTACCTGTACCACAGTGATATTATGCTGCCCAGAGGTTGAACATGCATTGAAGTCTAAGTGCGTGAGATTTCCTAAAACTGCAAATCTGTTGCAGCTCTGCATAGTAACCAATCAGCTTCCAGGTTTTATTGTCAAAGCTTAATTGAACCAGCTGAAGGTAGAAGCTGATTGGTGGCCATGCAGAGCTGCACCAGATTCTCAGTGTTCCAGTTTTAGTAAATCTCCTCCATGTGTGGTATCGGTATGGGCATCCTGGCCTCAGTGAGCGGCAATGAGCCTCATTGGGCGGCACAGCCCTGGATATTTAGATGCCTGTCTGGATTTCACAGATCTTTGCTTTCAGGTGCAAATGTTTTTAATAAGGTTACATGCTCCCCATACTCGGAAGTACCTTATATTTCTTAGAGCTCACACGTATCAGCAGAGTGGCAGGGTCTAAAAACTGTATCTATAATAACTGGATGGAAATGTAGTAGATCAAGCTTGTTACACTGTAAAAGTTACATCAGAAAAGTGCACGACTGAAGGATTCCTCATAAAGGTCCTCTTATCACCCAAAAACATTTTATCAACCAAAAAAAAAAAAAAACCAAACAACCATACTGAAACAATTAGCAAAATATATATTTTAACGCTGACCTGAACCAGGAAGGGGATCTCGGATCCCAAACTGTTTAAAAGTGAGTTGTACCTGAGCTGTGCCTCACCTGCACCTCACTGGCTTGAGGACCCTATTATTGAACACCCAAGACACCTGGAAAATGGGCCCCAGTCACCAAAAACCAAAAGGCTTCATACCAACAGCTCCCTTTACCAAAAAACCTCTGTTGATTTAGCAGACCATTACCCACATAGCTGTCATGGCAATTGCACCGTCAAGTGGCAAACAACAGAGTGGGTGGTTGGAAGCAGGGGCGGACTGACAACTCATGGGGCCCCCGGGCAATAGGGGATCGTGGGGCCCCTGTGTTCTTGCCCAAACTCAAAAAAGCCTATGAAAAAGGTACCAGGGGCATCTCATGGGGCCCCCTACTGACCCCAGGCCCTCGAGCAGTGCCCGAGTTTCCAAATGGTCAGTCCGCCCCTGGTTGGAAGAACTTGTGAGCTCCGCAGTACTTTCTGGGATGGCCGTTCCAAGCCTGAACCTTGCGGCTCCTCTCTGCATCAACTGGCTACCTTTTTCATGAAAGGTAAGCCTCACCCATTACTTCTACTTAACCCAGGGTTCACCAAAGTGGCCATTATTGAATCTCAAGGGTCAATGGGATTGTCAAAGTGGTCAATAAAATAACTGGGAGACAAATGGAAGTCATTAAGTATCTGGGGATCAAAAGGTGGTGGGTAAATGATGGAAAGGGTCAATTTGTTTAGGTCTTTGTGGAGCTTCATGTCAGTCCCTTTTTCTGAAGGTGAGGTGGCTTGTGACATGTTACCCAAGGTTGGATGAACTTAGTTTGTCTCTATAAGCTGAGTGTTGGTGTCCTTTGCCCCTATGGTTTGCGTTGTGTGTCTTTGACCTTCCACGTTCTGGGAAGGATATACATACATGTCTACTTCCCATACTTGGTGTGCTCACCTATCTTTAAACTGTTGGAGAGCCAGTGAGCTGGTGGGTGGTTGGAAGAACTTGTGAACTCCACAGTACCTTCTGGGATGGTCATCCCTAACCCAACCTCTGCGGCTCCTCCCTACATCAACTCTGGTCACCTTCTTCATAAGAGGTTAGCTAATGCTTCTCTTTAATCCATACGGTCAATATTGGCCCCCAAAGGTCAATGGTACGGTCAAAAGGGGCCAATAAAATGGCTGAGAAATAGGTGGTGGGTAAATGAGGGAAGGGGTCAGTTTTGAGGTCTCTGTAGAGCTCCATGTCAGCCAGGGGGATTGGCTTGCAGTGAGACAGTGTTACCTAGAGTTGGACGACCTTAGACTGTCTCTATCAGCTGGGTGTTGGTATTGGTGTCCTTTACCGGAGCACTTTGCCTTGTGTGTCTGTGCTCTTCCATGTTCTGGGAAGGATATGAATACGTGACCTCTTCCCATACTCCTCTACCTTCCAATAGTTGGAGAGTCAGCTTCCCTTTGTCAAGTTCTGTTGGTTAGCCTGTGAGTACACCAATGGTGATAGGAATGGTGCCAAAAGAAGTGACTGATGATTATTACTATCTATTATTTAACATAATAAATGTTTGGGGAGTCGATGAGGAACCTAAAAGTTCATGTAGAGATCAACAAGCTGAAGAGTTTGAGGAACCTGTCGTTAACCCTTTCCCAGAACCAATATTTTACCCAATTGTAGGATCTCTATCAAGCTATC